GGATTAATGATTTATTTGACGCCTTAAATTAGAACAAATTTGCAGATGCGAAAGTACACATTACAAAGTAGTAAAAGTTTTGTTGCCGATGTAAATTTTAAGTAAAAAGAGTGAGAATAATGAGTTCATATTTTAATATATTAAAAAATATTATACAATTTTGAATTAGATTTTAGAAGAATCTCTTAAAAAATTAAATAATTGGGAAGAACAGTGTGATAATGATGTCTCGGAAGATAATTTTTTAATGAAGCAAACTGCTGATAGACTTTGAGTGACAATCAAATCAAGAGATTTGATAAAATATTTGATATTGAGTGTTGGTGTCGGTTCTGTATTTACAGAGGATGATTGAATCAAGACTCTCTAGAAGTTTGGAAACAATCAACAAATATAATTGCCATATAAAAGATGTAAGACATGTATATTTACATATGTTAAATATATTTGTATATGTTATATGTAAAAAGATATATATAACATATATAAATATATTTAATATGTGCAAATACATATACAAGCTGTAGAAATTATATCTGTTTGCTGGGATATAAAAAATACAATTATAATATCCACCTATCTTGAATTGTACCGATAACAGAAAATGTGTGAATAATATCTTTTTATTATTACGATTATAAATTTAATAACAATATATTTAAATTTATTTAGCAATAATAATTAATAAGATTTGTATATTAATACATTAATAATGAATTCCATAAAATTCGAATCTATTTTATTTTTATAGAATAATTTAAATAATGAAATCTATGTATATAATTTAGGATTTTAGATTTCTATAATTACTTTAATATCTAAAATTTGTTACAGATTCTTGCAATACTTTATGTAATATTTATTCTAATAATTAACACATTTTCTATTATTATTATTCGAATAGTCATTTTTCTAATTTAATCTTTTTTATCTTTTTAAAATATGTGTATCAGAGATTTTTTGGCACGATAAGACATGCGACAGGATTAAATGATCATCAACAATGTCTACTTTTCTATAATTTTATAAAATTTTAAGTACTTTTAGTATAATTAAACCATCAAAATATGGAAATTGTACGGTTTTGAAAGATAATGAGGATGAAGAATTAATGATTACTCTTTTGGATATAAAAGAATATAATAATTCTCGCCATAATCAAACATCTTTAACAAAGTTGAAAAAAAAAGTTAAATAATATCACTAATGGAGACGAATTACATTCAAATCTGTTGGGTTTGTTGCATCATGATCAGTCAGAAATTGTTGACTGTTATTTATTATGTAACGAGATATTTATCTCAACATATTCTTAAATCCGTAAAATGTAATATATGTAGAACAGCATTCACAAACAGTACTAACAATGAATATAGTGCCTTTCCAGCAGCTTTATTGACTAATTTAAAGTTGAAAGAGGAAGGATCCAATCGAAAAGACTCATACACTTTAATATAAAAATGTATTATTTAATCAGACATTTAGGAAACTTATTTTTAAAGTATTATCATCACTCAGACATGTATGAAATGATTATAAAGAATATTTACTCCTGACTTATCACTTTCGCGCAAAAGTTATAGCGATAAAATATTGGCACAAATAATTAAATTTTATATCCTTTTATATATGAGACAATATATTAATAAATTAAATACAGAAAAGAAATATATGAAACAAATTAAAAAAAAAAATTCAAAATTTTACAAAACTTAAGTATGTTTATGATGTATATATAAGAAATTATTTTTAATATTTAATATTATATTAAAATAGAAATAAGTTACATTATATAAGTAAGTTTATTTTTTTCTATATCCCATTTACCTATATACACTATTCCATTTTATATATTATAATTATATGTTATTATAATTAAATTATTTTAATAAAAAATAATTTTTTAAACATTTTCTTATAAAAATTTTAATTATAAAATTAATATTGCATATTAATAAAAAAAATTACATATATATTAAAATAGATATTTGTTTTCATACTATTTGTAAATTGTACATACAACAAAGTTTATATATTGCAAAAATTATCAATTAATGATTGCATAATAATGGCTTATATATATTAACTTAATTCTATAGAATTGCCAGATTTGTGAGAATGTTAACAAAATATCAAAAAAGGATAGATGTTATTTATCTATAGATATGATTGAGCACTTAACATGCTAGCGCCACGCGGACATTATGTAACCACGCGAACTAACGATGTTCAATGGGCTGTCCTTACCGTTGCGCTTTCGATTGATTGATGCGGACCCCGATCAATTCAAAGCCGCTCCGAATATTTCAAAGTGGATAAAATAAAAAGGACTTAATTAATTTAATTTATGATTGTCTTATCAAGCAATAACTTTTACTATGGATAAAATAATTTAGATTAATTATTACTTATAGTTAAAAAATGTTAATAAGCAATTTATTCTGATTGAATTAATTAGAAATATTTACAGTATTTTGTTAATATAAATTATTTAAATTAATAATTTAATTAACGTATGGCAAGGAAAATTACAGTAGGATAAAGATTAATTAAAAATACAGTTAAACATTTATTATAGCACTTGGTGTTTGATGTTTTGGATTAATTACTTCACTTGAATTAATTAAAATCACTTGGGTTAATTAAAATGTATTAATAGTTATCTTGGATCATACAAAATTAATGGAATTAATTACATAAATAAATAACGATTCTGCGATCTGTCAATTTTTAACTGATTTTAAAAGTTTCTGTATCGCTAACATTATTTTTAATTTTTTGTGGATATTATTTATTTATCAATCAATTAATATCTATTCAAGCCAACACAAGATGATAATGTGAAAATGAATGATAATTTATTTAAATTATAATTATAAACGCTGAGATGTTTCGATTCTGTTTCAGATCCTTTTATCAATGCTTCATGTAAATTGTTAACAAAATGCAGTCATCTAAGAATAGTAATGTAACAGTAATGTTATCGTACTTCTGATATACTATATACAATAAATTTATTGAGTCGTTATATAATAGAGTATAAATGTATAAAATTTTTTTTCTGACTCACATGATCATCGCAATATTATTAAATTGTTTATGCATCGGACGTCGAGTTTTATCTAATGAGACAATAATACAAGACATACAGTACAAACATATAAAATATAGAATACATAAAGTGTGTCATTTAAACATAATTATGTTATCATAAGCTTTGTCCAACAATTTCGTATCATTCTGTAAATTTAGACTATTAATTGGTTGTTTGATAAAAATATTATAATTTCTGATATAAGTCTCTTATTCAGTATTTTTTTCTCATCTAAGATGCTTAATAATGTTACGATGATCATGTAAGTCAGAAAAAAATTTTATATACTTATATTCTATTATATAATGATTAATTTATATAACGATAAATTTATTATATAGTATATCAGGAAGTATAATGACTGACATCACTGTCATTACTATTCTTAGATGACTGCATTTTGTTAACAATTAACATGGAGTATTGATAAGGATCCGAAACAGGATCGAAATGCGTTTATAATTATGTTGATTTAAATAAATTAATTTTCACATCCTATGTTGGCTCGAATAAGCATTAATTGATTGCGTTGATTTATCTCAACCGAGCTTTAATATTTAATTTATTATATTATTTATCAATTATTTCATCTAAATATATATTATTCATTGTTCTTATTCATTGTTCTTGACTAATCGCTTGTATATCTGATATGCTTTTGACGTACTGAATATTTTGCATTTAAAAAAAAACATTTTGTTTCAAAAAAATATATACTCCATTATTTCTACCAAAATTTTATCAATTACATTGAGAAAAAGCTTTATTAAATGTTAATGTTTTTTTCAATAATACTAATACTAAACATTTACTTACAAACAATAAATAAATATTTACTTCAATAAAAAAATGTAATTACATTAAATTAATAGTTCTTGTATCAATATATTATCTCTTTTCATTTAGTAAATATTTAGTATGCTATTCTAATATTCATTAATTTAGTATATTTATGTGCAAAAATTAAGGTATGTTAAGATATTAATTGTTTAATTACATTTTTTCTTTTTCGATCACAGGAAAATAAAAGATGTTAAAAGTTTTCCCTCTATATAAAAAATTTTCACATATCGATATCATTCTAATTAATTTTTATTAATCTAGTTATTCTAAGCTTAAATCATTTTAATAATTGCTCAATGTATGTGATACAACAAATCCTCTTGAGAATGAATCTCGTATTGTTTGATTCATAAAAACATTTTGATTCATAAAAACGCGAAATCGAAACGTCAAAATAGTCATAATTAAGCTTTGACACTTTTCTTGCAATAGTTGAAAAAATGAAATAAAAAAATATTAGTGAAAGTTATACAATAACCTCAACAACTCGGTACTCTTTATTGATTTTCTTTTTTCTCACGAAATAATCTAATTTGCAAAGCAAACCTTACTAAATTTAATATTCCACTTCCAGCATCGTGCGAATATATATGTTAATTAAATTATATATTAATTAAAAAGAATTTACACGTTATTCTTTGAAGGGATTTGTTTTATATTACATTATCTTTCGTTAGAATACAAAAATAAGATTTTTCGTCGAAATAAGGAAGTAATTTTTTTTATAATATAACTAGAAGAATCGCCAAAATTTATATCTTTATAATAATAAAATATAAAAACAAAATATAGAAGTAAAATATAGGAGTAAAATATAAAAATTCAGAAGATATAGAATTTATTTAATTTACAACTTTACAAATTTATGATTCCATGAAATAAATTCGTATCGAATACACAGCATACTTACACATTATAAGTATACATATATGCATAAAATTTAATTTTTCTATCTTTTCCTAAAGTATGGATAGTTTTCTATCATAATTATTGAAGAATGAAACTAATTACTACTACAGACCGTACTCTTCATTAAAATTCTCAGTTTTTTTAGGTCCTTAGGTATTATAATCTTTCGAGCTAAAGACGTGATTACTGGAATTTCGTATGAAGGTTAAACTTTTTAATTTCAATTACATTCATTATGAATAATTAAAGGGAATAAAAATGGAATGAAAACAAATCAGAATATTCGGCGTTCTCAAAAAGTCTCAAAGTCTGCTCTCTAATATCGGCGATTGAAAATGTACAGCTTGATGGACCTGGCATCGATAATTCCACCGCTTATTCTCTCGTTTCGTACGACGGTCAATGACCCCCTTTGTCAAGGAGAATCGGCGCGACGTATCCTCGTCGGATTTTCTCTGTGCGAAGCGCACGCGGGCATCCCTTAATAAACCGGAAGGCGGCCTGCAGTCCCGCCTCGTGCGGGCGTCGCGGCGCGCTTGGGCGCCGCGTCGTCGCGCGTCGTCCCGCGTCGCGACGCTCCCCTGCGTTCGTGTTCGGTGGGGGGTCAGGTCGGTCGAACGGGAACGGGTCGGTCGAACGATCGAAAGGCCCTGCTCCTCGGCTCAGTTGTAGCGCCGACACCCCGGCATACACGAGGTCGCGTCGTAGTTTTAAAGGCACACTCTGTACAAACGTAGACACGCACGCTCTATCTTCCGTATACCTCCGCCTCGCCTGCGCCTTCGCCTCGCCTCGCCTCGCCTTCGCCTACGCCTTCGCCTTCGCCTACGCCTTCGCCCTCCGCCTTCGCCTCCGCCTCGCTACGTAGTGAGCAACAGATATTTAACCGTGCACGTTGCCGTAGAAGCGATCGCCTCTCCGACCTCGTAGAAAGCGAAAATGCAGCGTCCGGTCGTCGGTCACTGGAGAAAAATCCTACTGCTCGTGTATAGTTTGCCATTATTTTCATGTAAGTGAACGCGCGCGCGCGCCCGCGCGCTCGCTCGCGCTCGCGCCCGTTTATCCCTCTCGATAACAAACATCGACACCCTTCCCGCCGCCACGCGATCTCATACCCCTTATATACCATTTCCCCAATCCTCCCTTCCTCCCAATCCTCCCCTTTGAGGATTCATTGTTATTACGAGGGGTGGTCGCGCGCCGGCGACCGAACGATCCTAACAGGATTCGGCTCGTCGTCGGGCGTCAACTCGTCCTTCGGACCCGGATCACGTTTGAGAGCATCCCTCCGTCGAAGGATCCCTGAAACGCATCGATCAAGTCCGTCGATTAGCTCTATGATATTTTTTTAAGGGACAATATTTTGATATTTTGATTTATCGAACGCAATCTCAGACAATCTTTTTCTTATTTTTAGCATTAAATTGTCTTGACAATGAGTGCCTTTATTTTCTCTGTGAATGACGTCTGCTCGAGACGTTAAATGAAGAATAAGGTTCTCCATTATTAGAATGACTTGCGGGAAAAAAAGCTTTTTATTTTTGTTTGCCCATTTATTGACGTCTGGATGTGCCTGTTGATAAAGAATCGACTCCAGATTGATCAACACATCTGTAAATAAGAGCTTGGGAAAGGGGATGATTGGTGGGGACTTAAGAAACATCTTGGGATTGGTCTTATCTCTACTAGCCGTAAAGTAACCGTGTATCTTTTTACACCGAAGGGGATCGAGTGACGCAGAGAGTTCCGAAATTTTCCGGAATGTTACCACGGTAGAAATTTAACATATGTAATTCTTTTTTTTTTCTTTTTTTTTTCAAATAATAATTAACGCCCTTCGCTATACAAGATGGACACGATTCTGTTTCTCTCGTAGAAATTGTTGTATTGTTTCAGTTGACGACACCACAGAGCGGAGGCTGCAGATTATTCCTCATACAATTCAGTACTCTGACAATATTACACATTTTGCACTTCATGACGTGTGACATATGTCTCGGGTTAATTGTTCAGTGCACCATAACGTGTTACCGCGACGGAGAATAATTCTACGCCACATACCATGGGACGTTTTCCGGAGCATGTGTGAAGCGATCATCGTTAGCAAGTCACCGTTTGTCCGATATACTATACATATAATACATATATTTACTTCAAATTAATCATTGCGAAAATAACATAAGTCTAAGACTCGCAGCACAAATCATTGATATCGCGTTTTTAAACGCGGAGTAAAATTTAGAACGATAATATCGAGACTTATGTTGCTTTCAAAATGATCGATATTTATATCTTCAATAAATAGCGTCGCGCTGCAGAACGCAAATCGTTCTGCGGAATAAATACTCTTTCATTGTTCTAAAAACTTAGTGTATGCGTATTGACTTTGCTACTTTTGTCGCAGGAAGTCCGACATGAGAATAACAATTCACACGCTTCTTCAATATGGAATTGAATAAAAATAGAACACTTGAATTCGTGTACATGAGCTCCTATCATTCATACCACCCACGTAGAATTACTACAATGTACATTCACTATAAATCCTCAATGGCCTCCATTTATTTAGACACGTACAAAGGCGCACACGTACGCACACTGTTAATATATGTCGATACAAATGAAACTCTAAACAATCTAGCCGCCGTGTAACTTTTACCGCCAAATCATTTCCGAACATATTCGTCTTGTCGCGTATTTTAGGTCATTTCGTGACATTTTCTTTGATCGCAGGTCGTTTTTGTCACGAAACGCCATATAATCAAATAAATCATCGTAATGTGACTTAATTCGACCTAGTTTATTCGGGCTGGAATAGCGCTATATAACGTCATTAATACGCGAATCCATTATAAATTTAAGAGCGTTTATGAAACTGAAATAAAAATCAATAGCACAAATCGTAGTTTTTTTTATTCGCGCGTGAAAAGAAGTAAAGTCGCGTATTTGTATCAACTAAATTTACAATTCTATTCTAATATCAGATCGATAATGTGTTATGACACAATAATATACACGGTGCATATGTATAAGAACACTGTCAAACGTTTTGCTCGCTGTACGAACTTCATACGCGAGTCAGTTACCGCGAAACTAGAACTACGCTCGTCCGACGTGAAAGGTAATGTCAAAGGAAATGCTCGACATTGCTGCTTCCCGAAATTCCAGCAGACAAAAGCTCGCGACAATGGTCCTCCGTTATCTTAATCGTTAATCGCGGAATTCCGGCTTCTCGAAATTTCATCGTTCGCCGGCCCTTAACAATGGTTTGCGATTCGATTATTACCCGAATCTCACAATAAAGCAAGAATAATTCTGCTATTTCACGAAACCCGTTCAAACTGTTAGAGTTTGACAGATGCAATTAACAAATTCGCAACGTGAGAAAATCTTTGTAATGATATGATATCAAAGCAAATTATAAAGTTATTAATTTTCTTTAGATAATGAAAAGATGTATGATATCTCTGAATGTATTTTTTTTTTGCTTTATTTTAGAGCATAAATGGAGCAAGAAATTTTAAATATATATAAAATAATAATATTAAAACTATTTAGAT